GGACATTTCAAAGAAAAGCTCTCTTCGATGAAGATGCAACCTGTGGCCAAAGAGAGGTTGAGGTGGTCAGGACAGGGTGGGGGGCTCCCAGCTGGAGTCTTGTCAGGGCCCGGGAGGGGGAGGAGCCCCACTGCCCAGAGACTCTGGGCTCCTGCCCCCTTTGGCTTCCACAGGGCGGGCTCCTGGTCACCTAAGGCTGTCCCTGATGCCCAGGCTAAAGCAGACCTCCCCCACCCGCCAGCCTCCGCTGCGCCCCTGCCCGACTCTGCCCACTTGCCCCTGCCTCCTGTTCTCAGAGGCTGGTCTGTGCGTCCGTTATTCGCTTCTTGCCCACCGAAAGGCAAGCCCCAAGGGCACCAGTGTTGCCCTCTTCCCTGAGGCGTGCCCGGCCTCCGAAGAGGGCACTGATGCCAGTGGGTGCTCAGCGAAGGCCTGTGGGCCGACTGGAGTTGCAGGCCTGGATTCAGGCAGCAGCTGCTTCTCTGAGCCTTGGTCTCCCTGTCTGTCGAATGGGCACGTTGCCACCTGCTGTGGTATCTATCTTGGGGCTTGATGAGTCTGTCTTTGAGGCACACAGCAGGTGCTCAGGATGTGGGGGCAGGGAGAAGAGGGACACGGAAGTCTCAGGTCTGGGTACAGCCTAGCAAATACCTGGGAGTCTGGAGCACTGCCCACCATGGAGGGGCAGAGAGGACAGCCGGGCACGGCCAGTCCTTACGCCCGCTCGGCCCAGGGGTGTGTCCACTCCCCTGCCTGCTGCCACCTAGGGAGATGCTGGCTCCCCTACCCCCACCCGCCCCACTCCCCTTCCTGGCTTGCCGCCTCCCTCCAGCCTCATCAGCTGTTGTTCTGAACCAACCCCAAACCCCACGCCCTCACCTCGAAGGCCAAGGGAGCATCCTCCCAGCAGCACAACCTTCTGCTCGCTGGAGGTGGCACCGAGCGGGGCGCTGGCCAGAAGGCTGGGTAGGGGTGGCTCTGCAGCCCTGAGGGAGGCCTCTCTGAGGCGGCCTCCCCTTTTCTCCACCCAACCCACGCCAGAAGCTGGGGATGCCCCGCCGGGACACTGCCCTTGAGGCGTGGCACTCTAGGGCTGGCGGCTGGAGGGGCATCAGCTTTCTCCTTCCCTCGGTCAGGCAGGCCAGACACCAGGCCAGACGCGGCTCTGGGACTAAACTTTCCACAGAGCACTGGGCTCCAAGCCCGCTCGCCCCTGCACACAGCACGCAACCTTCTGGGAGGCAGGTGTGCCTCCAAGGATCTGGACAGCTGCCTCTAAAACAACTCGCTTGGCATCCCCCCACAGCTGCCCTAACAGGGAAGGGGGAGGAGCATCGCTGGGAAGAGCCAGTCAGTGACCCAGCCCCCTTCCTGGTGCCTGCAACGGGCACCTGGGAGCAGCCCCGGGCCCGGAGCTGGAGAGGCCCAGACAGGACGCCCTGGCGTAACGGCCTCTGCCCACTCCTTGGAGTTGCTGCTTGACTCCCAAGTGGGGCTCCCTAACGAGGACTGAAGGGGCAGGGTCGGGGGCCAGGGCAGAGGCCAGTCCCCGCTTGGCAGACCCAGGTGCTGCCAGAGGCCTGGGGTCCCAGTCTGCCCAGCTGTGAGATCAACCTGGCCGGCTCGCCCCCTCCATGCCCCTCCCTCCCCAGGCCGCCCTGACAGTCACCCTGGCCAGCCCTCCCTGCTCCTAACGCCTCCCCTGCCTCCTCGGCCCAGCCCAGTTATTCTCCCTCACCTCCTCTGGCAGCTGCTCCCAGTTTCCCAGGGGTCCACCCCTCCTCCTCGGCCAGCTGTTCTGGTTTGGTGCCTGCCTCCCCCCACTCCGCTGTCCCATCTAGGGTGCCAACAAGCCCCACCCACCGGTGGTCGATGGTTGGAGAGTCTCTATCCTGAGCCTCCACTGTCAGTGGTCAGAGAGTCTCTGTGCTGACCCCACTGCGGGTAGGAAGCTGCCGCGTGTGACAGATGGATCCCAGAACAGCCCCAGCCCTTTCCCGTCCTCTGCAGAGTGACCTTGGCTGGTCCAGTGGAGGGTGGCACACGTCTCCCACCCTGTGAATCTGCACAGGACTTGGGACCTGTGGCCAACAGATGGGGGAGGCCCAGGCCTAGGCCGCGAGACCACCTGGGACTCCACTCTGTTTCGGAGCTCTGCTGCTGTGCGAGGCCCTGCCCAGGCCAGCCCACTGGAGGGTGGAGCAGAAAGGAGCTGGCCCAGCTAGGTTCACCCGAGCTCAGCCTGTCCCCGGCAGAGTCTGCCAGTGACTTGTCCCCGTGAGAAATAATGAAGGGTGGTGTTTAACCATGAAGTTGGACTGGGGGGGTCCAGTGGCTAAGCAGCAGGGGCTAATATGCCCATCTGCACATGCCACCCCCATTGGGTCTGCTCCTCCCCCACTCGGGGAAGTCAGGCTGAAGCCGCCTTCTCCCTTGTCCCTCACGTTAAGCTCTGTGGATTCTGCGCCTACTCCATCTCTGGGATGTATGGCCTTCTCTGCACCAGACAACCATCCCTTCCTGCTTGGACTATTGCAGTAGTCTGTGTGCCGTGATCATGTCGCTTTCTTGTCTTCCCAGCTACCTTCCCACCTCAATCCCTGGGGCTCTACAGAGAGATCTGTGTTATCGGGGGAACCCTTCTAAGATTTCATTTGAAACAAAAGTTCTCTTGTTCAAAGCCTGGTATACAGGAACCATCACTAAACAGCTGCTGCCCACTTCCCCTGCTATTGAGACCTGGCTCAAATGCCACCTCTTCTTGGAAGTCTTCCTGGATTCCCTCCCAGCTCAGATAGGATGAACCTCTCCCACAATGCACACTCTCTCCTCTGTATCTGGTCTCCATGACTGCGGGAAAGAACCATGGTTTTCCCATCTGTCCCACTCAAAGGCGAGCCCCTGAGAAGCTGCACAGTACTGGGAGGTGGGGGAGAACGAACCTAGGACATGGAGCAGGGGAGCCAGGGCACCATGCCCGGCCCTGCCCACGCCCCGCCGCATGGCTGTGGGGAGGCCGCTCATCTGTAAAGCGCAACTAGAGACCGCACAGGGGCCTGCACAGAGCCGGGCACCGAGCGGGTGCTGAATTGATCACTGCAGAGGGAGGCAGCGGCTTGTGGCAGCTATTACAGGGAGGAAGACACGTGCCTGGGGAAGTGGGAGCGTCCATGT